GGCTGTTCCCCTTGCTGAGTTGAAAGTGGGTGACAAAGTTCACTCGCTTCTGAACACATACACACACACAGACATGTTTTTGACATTATGCGTTTTTGCATTTGCATAAGATGCAAAAACGCATAAAGACAGATAAGTTTTTATCAGATTGTTCGTGCAACAACAGGCTAACGTGATCTCTGGGCCTGAACTTTTGATACAAGATTGTTGAAATCTGGATTAATATCACTGATACAGAGTCTCAAAGTATTTGCCAGACTGCCATCTGTTAGCGTCGTTTGTATTTTAATTTTACTTATTTTCATGAGAGTGCAGGAGCGTGGTGGAGTACAAACCCTTCTTTCGTCTAGTTAGCACTGCATTTCGGAACCCTCCGCGGGCCGGATTAAAGCCTGACGCGACCGGATCCAGACTGCCAGTTGTCCACATATGGTTTATAAGGAATCCGTCTAAAGCCCGATTGTCCCATGGAAGTATCTTTGCATGGATTCACAGTCTCTCAGCCATAAAAGAGTTATTCCAGCTGGGGCGGGGATCTTCCGGTGCTGCCACCAGAGGCGGCATGTCTTCGTGACAGCCAGGTCTTATGCACCACACCGGAAAAGTGCATTTGGCCCAAACTATTCGCAAAGATAGCCGGCCAGTGCGGGCGTCACTAATTGCGGCACCATATCCCGAAAAGCGGGAAACGAGATGCACTTGCCATTTTCCACATCTTTTCTAAACATTCAAATACAGAAGTGCCAAGAAATAAACGGGGCCGAGTGAGGGGCAAGGGCTTGGCAAAAGTGGCGGCGTGTGAAGTACCTGGTCGCGACGCAGCCGCAGATGTTATCCAGAGGTTTGCCTCATCCACGGGAGGAACAGTGGAAGAACAATGTCAATTGTGCGAAATGCGCACCAAAAAAGATGTTGGGACTGGAGGATAGCGCTTATCGGTGGGCCAAGGAGACTTTCCCACGCTAAAGGACCGGGACAGCTTTATGCACAGTTTTCGGCATCGATCCGATGCGGCTCTTCCCAGCGGCCTTAACCCGACGGTGGTGATACGACCTCAACATCCTCCGAGGCCCAGTGTGTGAAGAGGCGTGCGGTTGTGCTTCTCACAGCTTTTGTTCAGCAACAGCTTGTGTTTCGAACTGTTTCGTGGGTCGTTGCTTCAATGGACGCTCGTGGTCGGGGGCGCAGAATGCTTCCCTCTGGAAGGGTCGGGTTTTTGTTGCGGGAGCTGGAGCTTCTGCAGATTTCTGAAGAGCAACGTCTGCTTCGAAATGAGCACAGTCAGCGGACGCATGAAGCTACAATTTTGACTCGTCGTGTACGGCCGCAGGTGCGTGTTTTAAAACTTGCGATACTGATCATCTCATTTCTCCCCAGCAGCTGTGGGCCAGGAGCGGAGCACCCTTCGTTTTAGCGGATCTCTTCGTGTGAGCTTCTGCCGTTTTCCATTGGAACTCAACGTATGCAGTACTAGAAAAATCAGCCTCTTGCATACGCAGGTCACAGATGGACGGCGCTTAAAATTAAACTCAAATTTACACTAATTACCACAGTCGTCGTACTGACGAGGTCCAGTTGTAGTAATGGTAAGAAATGTAAACGACTTAATGGACCGGAATATTTCTTACCATTATAATATATTTTACAAAATTTTGCAATTTTTACTAATTTCTCAATGCTATTTGCTTTTTCTTCCAATATTAAAATATTTTTCTATTGAAATAAACTGAAATGTGCGTCTCCCCCACCCAGAAAATGACTTGAGGAGACTGTACGTAAAATGATAGCCTATTAGCAGAAATGTCACCGCATTGCCCTTATTCTCAAAGAGTCGAGCCGGAGGGGTTGTGTCTGCCTCTTCAATACCGCTGTATTGAAACTGAACATGTACGCACGTGGACACTGACAAAACCAGAGCAACAGCGTTAGCTTTGTTGGGAAAACGACAAAACAAAGTATCGCTTCGTGGCTGTCCAGAAATTGCAGGCTCTGTAAAATATCTGGCCTGGCGAAATGTCTTTGTTACCATGAGGGGAAATAAAATCCATTAAGACTAGCGGTTTACACGGCAATCGATGTCTTACTGAGTGGTACCCATAAAAAATAAACCTTTTTATTACCTCTTTCAATGTGATTTCAATATTTTTAAACTTGGCTTATTAAAGCACACCCTCACTATGCATGGGATACATTCATAACCTGAGAGGAAATATATCTCTGTTCAGGAAGTTGTGATCCACAAATAATGACGTTGCGCTTTTCTTCTGAGGTTTTCCCAGCACTAGTAGTAATGATAATAATAATGAAATTGAATAAAAAATAATGTCCACAGTAATAACAGCAGTGGTATTATTAGAGACATAAGTACTGGAACAGTATGAGTAATATAAATAATGAGAGTTGTAAAATAATAATTTAGTGAGTAGTACAGTACTAAATTATGTCGAAGCAATAGTAGATCTTTCAAGAGTGCTGACTTTCGGTGAATTCGAAGTACAGGCATAATATGCTAATGGCTAATGCTTCCACTAACACTTTCATAAGATCGAAAGATAAGTGTGGGTGCGCGCAACATAGCATTAGCAGTGTTTTGGGGTAAAAAACTGACTTGAAATTCTAATTAAATGTTAGCGAAAGATTGTATTCTGGACCATAAGGTGGCCAGGTTTCTTGGGACGGAGCTTCCCCGGCTTTTCGAATTTCGGACATATACCGGTACAATGCGAGATAAACACTTAGCAAAATGATATTAGACCGTATCACACATACTACTTGTTCGGTTCCCAGAATAACTTCGTATCATCTGTGTACATCATCAACAACTGGTATCTTCTTAACAGTGTTTGGGAATTAGGTTATAAAGCTGGGAGAATTCCGCTTCCATAATAAGCAAACACTGAGGTAATATCTCACTAGCACATATAACTAGCCGAAACAAGTGATTTTTCAACAGCGTGAAAAACTGGGTCTTATTGTTAGTTCACGTATCATCTTGTGCAGCAAAAGAATTGGTAAAACA